TAGTGGTAAAATTTAAGGTGGATAGGGATTAGACCTATTTTAAGGCAGAAGGTGAACCTCTATGGTCAACATAGAGTACGTAATCGAACTCTGCATACATACCGTTTTAGGCATTCTGACCTGGTAAGAAACGACAAGAACGCCACTGCTGTCAGTTCGCTGCCATAACCTTCAATATCTCTAACCAACCAGTTGTAGAGTCTTTCGGACCCCAACCTAGAAGGCGAGAGACCTACTCTATCTAATGGCTCTGTGCATTTCGTCAGGCCTCATCTCCACGTCATCTGTTGACCTCCACGTGGTTTCCTTCAGCCCGGATTAGCTAAAGCGAATAAAGCGCAGTGCAGCAGACTACAGCTGGGCATACGCAATAAGTGTCCTAGCCAGCGAAGTCTACTAATCTGAATTCGGTGTGCCAGCAGGTTTATACCTGATAGACTCCCAAACACAACTCCACTTTACTAACCCGTTCGCTCCATCCAACATGGGCTAAATTACGTAAACACCGATAATCGAAAACTACCAATCGACGGATATCCTTCACTCGCAAATTCAGGGTCTCGACCATAAGGCAGGACTGAACGAACGCTAGCACAATATACACGACCTTTCAGCTTCAGTGAAACGTCGCGTCTACGCCAAAGGTGTTTCAGTCCTGCGTATGNCTCCATCCAACATGGGCTAAACTGCGTAAACATCAATAATCGAAAACTTCCGGTCGACGGATATCTTCTGGTCGCAAATTCAGGGTGTCAAAACCATTAAGCAGGACTGAACGAACGCTTGCACAATATACGCGACCTTTCACCTTCAGCGTAACGTCGCGTCTACGCCAAAGGTGTTTCAGTCCTGCGTATGCTGCTCGCGCCTTTGAACTGTGGGCGGTTATCTCCTTTGCTGCACTACCGTCATTGGTCACGCAGCTACATAAGTAGAAAAAGTAGTCCACTACAATTAAATCCTGGCTATTTAGTGTCAGAGTGGGAGTAGACGAAACCCAGTCCTGCAGCATCACTTTGCACTTTGAAGGTGCAAAGCACATAATACCGTATGTGGCTACTGCACTTGTTAGACTATCAAGTGCGCTTTGCGCGTCCCCCATACATTCGAACAGACAGACGAGGTCATCGGCGTACTCTAAATCGCACAGCTTTTCTCCAGATGCCCATTCAATATCTACGCGTTGGAGTCCACTTAGTGCGTTTTCCAGTATTTCATCTACGACGAAATTGAATAGGAAAGGCGAAAGAGGGCATCCTTGACGGACACCGCTGCTGGTGACGAACGGCTTACTTAGTTTGTCGTAAACCCTTACACGACCGGAAGTCTGTGAGTACAGTGACCTCAGTAGGTTAACGTACTTCTGGGGCATTCCTTTTTGAAAAAGGGAGCTTCGCGGTCGACTGAGTTCAAGGCTCCTTTCAGGTCAAGGAATACTCCGATCGTTGGCCGACAGTGGGTGTAGCGCAGATTAACGATCTGGCGCAACGTAAAATTTTGATCAATTCATCCACGGCCAGGCCGGAATCCGGCTTGCTGTTCACATCTCAGTTGTGGCAGTGGTCTCAAGCTCGACTGGGACGTTTGACCCCATGCATAAGGCGTATGAGCCGATGAGCTGGATGAACAGGCCCAAATGAACTAGAGACTCTGAGCTTTCTAACCCATGGTTCCGGATGAGGACCCCGTGTTTATACCCTTCCTCGATCAGGGGAACGGGGAAGTAACATGCCCATTCGCTCTATGAGCACACTTTATCGATCCCATTCATATGTTGTGGGACATTTACGAATTGTATGTAAGTGATTAAGTTCATTGTTTGCTAGAGGGAACAATAACGCCAAGTTAACCAACTTACTTTACTTTACTGCGGTTGGCTCCCTGTAAAGGATAAGCCGGCTTCAGACATGATCATGGAATTCCTTGGGAGTTCGGTACGAGACGTTCCCAGCGTCACTCGGCGTTCTTTATTTTGAAGGCGCACCTCAGGTCTTTGCACAACCAAGTGCGAACTGCAAGGCAGCAGGAAGTAATCCCTCGCCTCGGGAGTGAGGGGGTCAATGACTTTAGTTTTAAAGGCCAGTCACATCGACCTTTGTCGCGACACTGTTATCGGGCCTATGCCGCTTTCCAAAACGAGCCAGGTAATCAGCCTGAAACCTACCACACCCGGGAAAGTGCAGACGCTGTTCGTTCGCGAATGCTTATTTGTTGCGGTATGCCACAACTTGTTCACAGCTGACCTTCTACGGTGAAAGTATTCCCCTATCCGTACCCCGAGGACAAGGTTGCCCAAGACAAGGCAGGTCAATTTCATTAGAGAATTCACAACCGTGGCCTTCAGCCAACCAAAGCGTGACTCGCGAGGCACTGACGCGGTGTGAAAACCGCAACCGTTGGAGACCGGTATCCAGTTCCTTGGATCAGACGTGCTTTGCGCAGGGTCAAATGTCCAAGGTGTCCAATACACCTCAATGCCCAATTGAGCCGGTGGCCACTGCCGCAACCAGGATGGTGCGTATGGTTCGTACACTTCTTGGAATCAGGGTTTTAGCCAACCCCACTAGATGAACGGTCGGTGGTTGACAAATGCGGTTATAGTCCCGTATTTAACTGTCACCCTCTCCACTTCGCTCTTTACCCCAATCCATATATCCCCTATTATTGTTATTGTTAATATTGTTGTGGCGTTGGCACCACGCTTGTTCACAAGCCGGGGTAAAAATATCTAATACATATAGTCCGGATATTGGCTTTTCGTCCTCCCAATTTGGTGGGAAAACACCTCCACCATGGGAAGGCAGCAAGTCTGGCTTTTTCAGCAGACTATTTGAGAAGCTTAGTCATAAGGGAGCATTTCGCGAGGTGTAAGGGGGTAGTGACCGGCCACAACCCGAGACACCCACCCCAACTGTACTGAGGCGTTCGGTGGAATATATATATATATATATATCCTTTACGCTAATCATTCAAGTATATACGTGCACACCACCCACAGATGGGATCACTAGTGGTAAAAACGGTATGACAAACAATCTGATGTCAGCTCTGTCAGCACTGCCAACGAATGCTGTCTGAACATAGTTTCCGTTTTCACAACTACTAACCATGCTCTTTGTATAAAAGAGCCAGATAATGACTGGAATGTTTAGAGCAAATTAAAAGGGAATATACAGAATTCATATAAACTAGGTTACTATGTTTAATTGTGTAGGTAAACAGCGTGGCGATCGATGAAGCTGGAGTGACTTGAACCAGGATGGATGATCAGAACGCAATGGCAGAGCTTTCGGTAACGCCATGATCCAAACATGAACGAAGTGCTTGGAAAGAACTGAAACGATTCGGCAACTGAAGTTATCCACGGAGTTCGATGGAGCTCTTAGAATGAACCGCGAAAATAATTCTTAGGTAAAGCACACGAACTGATACACATACTGGAGGATTCGCAAACTTATAAACCGAAAGCAGGATTACATATTATCACATAAAAGTGACCATTTGATATTCGTTAGATATGCAAGAGGTTTCGAGTGATTTGAGTGACCAAGGCCATTTGGTTGCCCAAACATTTGGGAGTTATACGATTTCTGAAGTATCCTCTAGTTCTTTAGCGAATACTGCAGCAAACGGAGTAAGCACCCGACCTGCAAGTGTGATAGGATACACGACATGTGGTAGATGAGTTTCAGACCTTGACAGCCTCATAATGGAATTAGCTCTAGAGTAAAACTTAAAGCTTGTATTTATGCCAGACAGATATGTAATGAGCATTCGGGGGACGACTGTTGAGTGACTGTTTGGTAGACGGCTTCTGAGATACAGACTCGAAACATCGATTATGTTCACGAAAAAGTAAGCTCTTCATTCTAACCTCACTACATTCAGGTGGGGGACTATTACATATTTCAACAGTACGATTTATCCTCTTGGATACGCTTAGGAGAAAGACGATAAACGTATGTGAATGAGATTCATCCCAGAGCCGAAAAAAGCTGATGTAAATGCCCGACATGCTGGTCTCGAGTTCCAGATTATTACGATCTTGAGTCGGGCTCCGAAGCATCATCCCATGCATCCTAGAAAAAATTGAGAGCGTAAATAAAAGCCAAAGTGAAAGAAGCACAAAAAGCAGGTAATAGTAACCTGCACCACCTCCGAAAAGTCACATTTGGGGGAATAACATAGTTCTGAATGAACCGCAGGGAAATTTATAGGTGAATATATCTAAGGGATGCGCTTGTAGTAGTATTTTAAATAAATATTAGGTCAAAAGTGTAAGGAGGAAGTCTTCAGTTGTATTTTGACCTTCCTCTAAAGCTAGTCACATAACGGAACCGGAACTGTATTTAGAAGGCACAGAAAGTTATTCTATTTCCAGGGATCGATACTCAAAGCCATTTAAAATTATTCTTCCAGTAATTATTAAACAACTTCTATCATTTAACTGCAACATTCAGTTCTAAACTTCAACTTACAACTATTTACACTATTTACAACCAGCGTGTTGCTTGCAGAGGCCGCGACTCCCAACAGCAATGATCGAAATTGGTGCATTTAAACAAAACCATCACTTTGGAAATTTTTGTGATATTTCAGCAGTCCGTATTGTTATAAATAACTTAAATATGATCTTTTAAACTATTCTTTCTGATTTTAGCCCAAAATCCCCTATTTGCCCAATGTTACTTAGGTTTTTTTATCCCAAATGTGCCAAATTCTAACGGAATCGCTCAGCGCATTCACTATAGATCTTTAATTTGCGTACCTCCCCCCTTTCTCCACGTTTAAATTCAAAAGATGAGAAGTTCGTGTTATCGAATAAAAGGTTGAGAAAACCCGCAGTCGGGACCACCGTTTTCCGATTGGTCGGTGGAATTTCCCCAGCTCCCGGCACCTCGATGTCATAAGCATGCCATTTGGGATGGGAGCTGTGTGTGCTTAGGATACCATTACATTGTAGTTTCATATGCGGCTTCCTATGTCAATGGGACAGGTTGATGAATATAGCTATGGCAAACAATTCCGCGGATGTGGAAGATGAATGTTTCGTGTACCCTGCCATAACAAAACGTTATTCCCAAGTGACTTTGCCAACAGCAGACTCTCCCGTTGAAGCTTCTAATCCACAAAATACTCCAAAGACATCAACACGCCCTCTGCGGTCAACATTAAAAACGCGCTCTCAGTTTGATACGGATAATTGTGATAAAAATCATCGACGGGGTCATATCACACAGTCGGATTCTACTGCTGATCCGGGTAAAGCAGAACCACCTGTTTGGAACGATACAGAATCATCAACCGAAACATCTTTCCTAACTGTGGAGCCAAGTCAGATGTCGAAAAGGACTTCTATCCAGCAACTGCGCAAATATTCAGTTGTTGATCCAAATGCTTTGAAATACTTTGAGGGTAAGTTCTAATAGGCATAAATCTTCTGTGGCTTAAATGATAGACAAACAGTCCATGTAGGAAAAATTTCTTTTCAGATTTCGAGCATCGAACTACTTCCGGGGATGAAAGTGAAAATTCACATATGATTTCCTGAAACACCATACCGACGATCGGAATTAATTGACTGAATCCCTTAATTCGAGCTCAATGGAAAGCAGAGATGGGGAAGAAATTGTAGCTCAAGTTGGTTCCTTATTTTTCATTTACTATCAAAACATTGGGGTAAAGCTTTCCTCCAGCCAGTCATAGGCCGTGTTACCGCATTCACAATGGTATACCTAAGCACGAACGTTGTCGGAAGTAACTATAATCACCAAAGGGGCCCTGGCACTTTTCAGAGAGTCGGATAAAATCAACTTCAAATTTATCGTGTTCTCCCTAACTACCCTGACAGATGCGCCAATATCTGTCTATCAACTGAACTTATGGAGATCAACTGCGATACAACTTATCAAACCACTCGTTCTAAGTTTAAAAAATCTGAAGTCTAAGGACAATGAACTAGAAAAGCTGACTTCCTTCTTATAATAAAATAAACCACTCCAAACTGTACAAAAATGCATCCTCGTGATACCCCCTTTTTGGAGGGCGATCAATAATAGCATTAATTTTGACCTAAAACGGTTTTACTCATTGTAGCAAACTAATGATTCCAGGTTATTAACTGGGGGTTGCGTTCATTGGAAGGCAAGTTTGTCGTCCAAGAAACAACGGTTGATCCCTCGGTATACCCCGGCATCACACTATTTCTTTAGCGTCTTTTCAACCATCAGGAAGCAAACGTTCGCGTGGTTTCGTATTTTCTCGTCATAACTTCCTTTCTCCCACTTGTCTTCAGTGCCTATGATAAAGTAGTGATTATAACCTGTCAAGGTGAATTTTTTATCATGAGGAAACGATACCTCAGAGTGACTTACTCCTTCGGTAGAAAAACTGTGAAAACAGAAAAGAAATGTGGCCCTTTTAGATCACTTTTCACAGTAAACGGAGATAAGCTTGCTTTATTTTTGAATGACTAACTATCAATATGTGCATGCTTCAACAGCAAAAGATATCCAGACTTGATAACGGGATTCACGATATGGCAGCTAAAAACGGCGCAATTTAGAGAAGTCGTAAGCATTCTAATGGTCGGGCAATTCTTCGCGCATAAAATTCAACCTCCTTTGGTTGAAGATGCCATCAACCATGCCTTCACCACGGAGTTTCATTTGAAGTACATTTTGGTGAAAACCATTGTTTAGTGAAAATCGAAACACCATCGTGGGTTACGGTTTCGTTCCAGTTGACGTCTCTCCAGACAGGCGTATACATCTGTCAGCTTTGAGGAGCACCGTCCACGCTAGACCCCCCAGTTAAACCGATTCCTTTCGCGTGTGTGAGAGAGAGAAAGTCCATGGTAGTCATTTCTGCTTGATGCATCGTTTACCTCTACTTTCTTTCTACGGATTGCTCGACATACAGTCCCTTTTTCTCAATTTCTCATAATCTCACTCTTCTCAATCACTGTTCCCCTCTCTTACACGCACAGTTTCCCGCTTCTACCCCACATCAGTATCGTAGTGTTGACAAATTTGCCAAAAATCTCTACGTGTGGAAGCAACCATAGGGATAAGTTCAAGGTGAACCGTTAAGATATTGATGGGATTTCCCAATCTGCTGTCATGAAATTTTGAGTGTATAAGATAAAGTATTCAGAAACCAAAATAGATCAACCTGTTTCTCGCTGAACAAATAAGTACAAATGTAACCAGTTGATGTCGGTTCAGCGTGTTAGTGGAGCTACATGCTCATTTGAAGATCCATTTGAACTGAATGGCCTCTAAGATATCAGAAGGAACTTACATTTATGGCAGTGATCATAATAATAAGCAGTTTTTATTTATAGACAATCACATAACCAGGTCAGTTAATGAAGTATGATTGCAATCAATCCAAAACCATCTGTTGTGACCCCTTTTGAGTTTCTGAGCTGTATGTTAAATTGTATTACAAATCTATGTATCTGGGTACAAAATGGTAAATGAAAGCTTCTTGTTGCACTTATGGAATTGCGGAATTTTGTGATGAATAATTCAGTTACTGTTCTTCTTTTATCCACCGTGTGAGACATTTTTTCAACTTCGGATTCGTTAGAGTGCTCGTCAACCGATCGATTGCTGATTCCTCCTTGTCTACTTCAACAAACACTCGTTTCTTTCTGTTCTGTGCACTGCTAGTGCTTATAGCGTTCATTCGACCGAATATCAAACCCAAACTACCAACTGGAGAAATTCGGTAGCTTTTGTCACAGGTACCTTTGATCAGAATACTCGTATTCACTATCAAACAGAAGTCTCATGATCATCCTCTTCAATGTTCAGCATAAAGTCTATAGTAGGAAAAATAAATTGGGGTTTTAAACCTACTGAATGATTTTAATCATTGTTTACGGGTTCGATCTGTGATCAGTGAGCAACCCTTTTTCCCAACCCAACCCCAGTCGTTGTCCACTGTTATTTTGCACAGACATTTATTTATCCTTTGGCCTTCCACTTTGCTTTGAGTCCATCATTCACCATCGCAAAACTTCCTAAGCTCGACTTCTCTGTTTACTAGTCTCTGTCATTGACATAATCTGATATGTATTTAGCAATTCAAATGTCTCGTACCGTTCTCCTGCGCAGTTCGTGTAAATCTCATAGATTCGCACTAGCCGTTTCACCTATCTCAGTCTGTTTTCTATGGAGGAACCTATTGTTTCGAAACAAACATAACGAAAGGGGGACACTGTAACAAAAGCAAATATTTTTTCTGTCCCATTACTGTTTTTTTTGTTGAGCACACTATTCCGTGGGTGCAACAGACGGACAGGGTGTCATGGGAAGCCTGTCTTTTAGCTGGGATCGTTGGGATACGCATCGTGAGACCACGTTCGGTGATAATTTTGGCGAGACACAACATAAACTGATCCAACGCTCAGTGGTAATAAATCGTTTTAGTATAATATGTACTAGGCAACTCGATATCAAACCTGGGACATCACATGTTGAAAGCAAGCACATTGCTCGCTTCAACTTGGGGTAACTGATCAGCCTGTTTTTCATTTGGTCCATGCACGATACGGCACAACAAATCTTTACAAGCCCTTTGCGGGTACCGTATCTCGCTCAGCTCAGCCCCAGTATCGAGGGTTATTACCTTAGTGTGTACATTCTGAGCTGGACTACATGTTGCAAAATAGCAATACAGTAGTTTATTGCATCACATAGTTTATTGCATCTAACGGCGAGATCCCCAGTTCGGTCTCCCGTTAGGCAGATGGATTAATCAAAAAAATTCAAAACAGCCCTCTCCTTCTATTGCTCCCTAATTCCTTAGATCTTTTTTGTGTACACAAAGAAAGTTCTCCTTAAATCTAACCAAATCTTCTCCTATGCACATAAAATACGGTTCGAAGATTCAGTATGATTTGTTTAACAACGTCGCTCGGATAAATTGCCTCCATTCACCAGTGATTGCTAGTTTCTGCTCCGTAAAACTACGAAATATTGACGGGAGTGAAAGGAAATTTACAAACTCTCACCTTTTTAAACCGGCTCATTTTGCACATAGGATTTCACCTGGTTCATGTCGGGTAACACTACTGATCGGAGATCAGTGAGCCTAGAGACATAATTCGCTTCACTAAGGTAGATACCCTCCATCGGAGGAAACACAGGCCTCTAAGAGGTGATGAGCATTACACGTAGGGTTCACCACATGGTGTTCCTGATCTTGGCCCAACCGAACAATACGGAAATCCACGTTGATTTGCTCATGCGGTTGCCGTTTGCCAACGAAGGCCAAAGTGACCGTATTCGGATTTTCTAACTTCCAAACGCGTTTCCATGCACACACACACACCAGAGCGTCGACACAACGGGCATCAAAACTATATAATCATGTACCTCACGTCAAGATGATTCCCACTTTCATAAATTAAAAATTGAGTACCCGGCTTCAAGTCAAGTATTGTGGAGATTGTGGAGATATATGCAACCTGTGCTATTGGTCAGACATTGAGAACTTCAATCCATACAGAACAGCAAAGTAAAACTCTACTTAACAGCCTAGAACTGTGCTCACAGTCCCTCCATAATTCTGCGAGATACAATCACTCAATCTGCTTCTCTTGACCTTCATTCGCATTCGTGATTTAAACTCTTGCATGCAGTTGAGCTAAGCTCGCATACATGGGGTGGGGGGGTGGGAGCATTCGGTAACCGCATCCATTTGATTGACGATAAATGCACACAAACAACACGTCATTTGTCCGCTTGTTGATATTGGTGACACAAGAAAGTCCACCGGTTGGATATAGATAGTTGAAGATATAAGGCAAACTGGGGTACAAGCTTTTCAAGCGGATAAATTGATACAAAGATATCAATACACGTCACTGTTTCTCTGACAGTGGTCAGCCTCCTGTGACAAGCGAGAGGTTGCAAAAAAAGCATTTCACTGTAGACTGGGGAGTTCATTTTTTCGAACGAGAATTTCTCTTCCTCAGTTCCGGACGTAACCCA